GCTGTTGCTGTTGCTCTTGCTCTGTTGCAAGCATTGTCTCTGCCCCAGTCTAATGCAAGTTTTGTGTTGCGAGCAACGCTAAAAGATTTTCCAGCTGCAATTTCCAACGGAATGAATCGCTTGCCAATAATCCCCAGTGACAGTTGGCAAAAATGCAATTAAAAAATTTTCACTTTGTCGACTTTGTGTCTTTTATATATATATATACATATATATATATATATATATACATATATATAAATATGTGAGTGTGCGTGAGCTTTGGGCTCTTTCGATTTGCTTGGCATAAGTTTGACAGCAGCTGAGCCCTCGCAGAGTTTGCCCCACTCCAGCTTCACCTAAAAACATTCTTTCATTTAATAAAATGCGTGCCAAGTTGACAATTTCAAACCCTCCCCCACCATTCCTATTCCCATTCCCATTCCGATGGTATGCCAAGGGGCCAAGGATGAAAGCATTCAGTGTTCAGTGTTCAGCGCCCAGCAACGCAGGACTAAACTGAAAAGTTTTTCCCTCAATTTGACTTTGTCCATTTCATGCGCCCAGTTTGCTGACACGCCCAGCTGTCAGTCTGTTTGGCCAGAAGGAGGCTGGGTCTGCCCGCAACCAGCAACCAGCAACAGTTGTCTTCTAGATCCAGGTGCCAGGCGGCATCTGTGTAGCACACAGCCTTGGCGTGTGTGCCACATTTATTTGCGGCCCGCGGCGCCCTAAGAAGGTGTTGTAATGTGCTCGAACAACAAGTCTTCGGCAATTTGCATTTGTCTATGCGTTTTGCATCGGGCTGATGGGCTGCGTGTAAACAAATAATCTAGCTACGCCTGGCAGCTAAAATGCCAAGGATGGTATGATGACTAGTAGGTATTTGTTAGTTGGTAGCCCAGTTCAAACGAAGCCACCGAAAACATATGAAGCAGTGGACCACACGCACAACAATCGAGTGGCAAAAAACGAAACAAGTCACAGTGATTGGGCTAATAATGCCCGACTATGAGATGCCCTGTACTAAGTGAAATGTTGAGTAAAGAAGTCAGAAGTTGTAAGCCGTTAACTGTGAGTTTATTGTAGTTTTTAATACTTAAACAGATCGAATACAAATGGGATTCGTTTGTTGACCACTTTTTTAAAATTATGTGTTTTTTTCGCTTGAGTTTGAAAATAGCAATATCTTGAAAATGAAATAGCAGCAAATATAATTAAATATTTATAGTATATGTTTCCATAGATGTTGAGACAAGTTCAGGTAGATCATAGACATAGATTGTCTCATTCTCTCGTCCATTGATGGAAGAGCTATTGGGTAAGAGGTTGCAATCCATGAAGTCTCTCAACAATAATTGTAATATTTAATCAAAAGTCAGTATATAGTTTGAATACAACTTTAAAAAGTCTTTGTCAATTGAATAATGATGTAAAGCAGAGCTTGATGACAATGAGAATTAAACTAATGCCAATTTAAAAAAAAATTATAATTAATAAATAAGTCAAGCACTCAATTATAAGCCGCTAACTCTTGCAACAGATGGTCGAATGGCTATAACTCAAGCTTTAGCTTCTTAATAACTTTTGGTTACAGGGTATACGAAATACAAACAAAATATATTTATATATATATATATATATATAAACTCGGACAGGCAAGAGCCTCGCTCGCCGTATTGATTATTGTGATCTGCCGTGTGCTGCGAGTTTGTGGTTAATTATGCAGGCAACTTGGGGTATCCAGCGAGCAAGAGAGAGATAGCGAGAGAGAGAGTGAGAGGGAGAGAGTGAGAGGGAAAGAGAGGGGGAGAGTGACATAGGGAGTGAGTCGAGAGGGGCGCGACTGTCATTTATTTTAAACGATTCTTTTACATATGTCGGAGGCTGTCGCCGCTGCAGCCACCAGCGTCAGCAATTGTTGTTGTTGCTGTTTTTGTTGCTGCTGCTGCTGCTGCTTCAACTGCTGCTGTTGCTGCTGCTGCTGCTGCGAGTCGTTGACGTTGGCATGCCAATCATTTCGCGTTGATGAAGTGCTAGTGTGAGGCAAAAATGTTGTACCAATAACTTGGATGCAACCGAAATAAGGAGTTGAAGCAGCTGCAGCAACAGTCGATAATGGTGCTGGGAACACTTTAGTAATACGATTTGGTTCACTTTAATTGCCAGTTACGCGCCACTCAATATTGGCGTTTCAATTTATTACATTTACATACATTTACATTTATAACATCCAATTACTATAATGAATCTGCAATATTATTTCAATTGAATCACAAGTAATGTATTTATTTATATAATGGTTTCATTTGCAAGCTATCAAAACAGAAAAAATACTACATTAAGCAACAATCTGGGAATATTAATGATTTTTCTAGAATATATATATTTTATTGATGGGAAGTTTGTAACACATTTTCGACCCTAAAAAGCAGATATATTCTTGATAAGTTCTTGTGTCACCCGCCATCCGCCTATTATCATACAGTTCACATAGAAATAATCGATCTGTTTTTTCAACTTAGAGTGAAATTTAGATCTCAGTCAACAAGTGAAGTTTGTTTTAATTTAAATACATTTTTCTACAGTTGTCTACTGAATACTGAATATATGAATATTATTGTCGATTAATAGGCATTCAGTTATTTATGCATGTATTTGTATTTACAACTCTTCCTTAAGCCGACAGCCAACCAATTGGAAAGCCATCTATTTTTACAATGTTCCCATCGTTTAACACAAGCCGCAAAAAAAAGTGAACTCACACACTCACTCATACACTCACTTACTCGCTCATTCAGGCACTCGTTCCACCTTTTTGTCAATAATTAATTTGTTGAAAAATGCAACGCGACGCCGCTTGGGCCACCACCAGAGAGACTGTGGCAGAGACAGAGGCAGTGTCGGGGGCAGAGTCGGAGGAAGAGTTGGAGCCCAAAGTCGGGGCTGACAGGCCGAGCAGCGCCTTGCATTATGCATGAGCCTGGCCTGGTCTGGCCTGGACTGGCCTGGCGGGGAACCCAGAGCTGGACTTGGATCTCAGTTGGGCTCTACCCATCCTTGAGTTATGCGCTTTAGGGGCGCCTCCAAGGTTACCCCTTTCCGTACCTCCATTTGTCTTCCTCGCCAACATTGTTCCTGTCTTCAACTGTTGCAGTTGCTGTTGCTGTTGTTGTTGATGGTTGTTGGCCTCGTTTGCCTCTGTGTGCCGCTTTTCTAACTAATTTGCTGTTAATTTGTTGGATGTTGGTTGCCTCGTGCTTCGAGCCAGGCATCCAAAAATTCATTTCCTGCCATATACGCAACAAATTTTTGGCGTTGTCAGAATTCCGGGAAAACCCCACAACGCAAAAACAGGCAAACACGTAATAATGCACAGGTAACTCGGCCAGACAGACAGACAGACGGAGAGACTCTTGTCTCAGTCGGCGTCAGCATTCTGTAAGAACGCAAATTAAAATATAATTCACAAAACAAACAATAATAAAATACATGAACATTAAAAGGAAATGATTTGGAAACATTTAAAAATGTGTTCTAAACGAAATTTAGACAAAATACAGCAAGCCAAGTTTTTATATAGTTTTTCAAAATATTAACAATATTCTTGGCGTAAATTTTTAATATATATTCACTATTTTATGTTGTTAACATTTTTGGATTATTTTATATTTTTTTATTGTATATTTTATATATTTTAAATATTGTATATATTTGTAAGATTATTTTTCTGTTGTATAAAGGATGGAGGTGTTTTTGGCACAAGAAAAGATATTATCTTTTATGCTCAGCAATCAAATCAATGTTGAACGCAAGGAAAAGTGCCACAAGCGACTCGCTTCTAACTCCTTAGATTCTCTATTTTGTGTTTCTAATATTTCGAAATAAACTTTGGAAGATTTGCGGCGTCCATGGTACATTTACAATTTGTACAATTGTGTATTAAGTTGCTGGCTGGATGTATTGCGCCGTATATGTAAAAGAAGTGAAAAACACATGTACTTAAATCGATGCGATCAGCAAAATGCTCGAGTCGAAGGCCTGTGAGAGTTTCGCAATGTTTGGTTTTTGTAGACGAATTGGGGCGGACAGCGGCGGACACGAGTGGCGGCGAATAGGGCGACTCGATGGTGCATTGTGAGAGACCGTGTTGCTTGCAACAGGCACGGCACAGTCGTGGTGGCAGCTCGCTGGGTATCTGAGCCAGCTGAATCTGAATCTGAAACTGAATCAAATGTTTATCTTCCGTGTTTTCTGGTCGCCACTCGGATTACAATTGCCGCTCGCTCACAGTTGCTGCAGCTTGTTGCGGCTGAGTGGCGCTCGGTTTTTTTTTTTTTGTTGCTTTTTTCTTTGCATTGAAAGTCACGTGCCGTGCATAAAACCAACGCTTTTTATGTTTCACTTGTTGTTGCTGCTGCTGTTGCCTTTCAATGAAAATGAAATTCAAAAATCGAAAATGTTGGCGCGACACTAACAACAGCCGAGAGGGGGTAGCAGAGGGGAGGTTGTACGTGGCACAGGGGCAGAGTGGGCACATTGGGTTGTAAAAAAGGGAAACCGGCGCAGAATGAGTCGAAGCTGTCAACCTCATCAATGGGGCAGCCCCCGAAGCAGGCACATTAATTAAGGCAAAGAAAAAAGCATAAGAAGGCTATATATAAAAACACACACACACACACACACACACACATAAACACATTCACATGCACGCATACACATATGTTTGCTGGCTGCGCAGCTGCCACTTCGGCTAACATCTTCGGGCTTTTGTGGGGCGGCATCTTCGTTTTGCAGTCGCTGCTGACGCTGGCTGCGCAGTCAGCGGCAGCAGTTTGGCGCTCGGTTTTTCGTTTGCTTTGCGCACGACTCTCATTTTGTGTTTGCTCGTCAAGGCAGACGGAAGCAGAAAGCTTCAGCTTCCGACCTACGCGCGTGTCTGTGCTTTGTTTATGTGACTGTGTCTGTGCGTATGCCTGTGCCTGTGCGTGTGCGTCTGTGTATGTGTGCTGCAAAAGCAAACCGTGTGCAAATACAAATACCGCTAGGCTAACGGTACCAAACAAAAACACAGCGCAAGACAAACGATGCGCGCTCAAAAAATTAACAACACCACAGCGTAGGCAAAGTGAGTGAGTGTGCGAATGCGAGTGCGAGTGTGTGTGTGTTTTGATGGCAGGCGTGTGCCGTTAATTGCTCGGCACGGCGACAACAGGTGGCAACCCCCTGCCTAATGACAGGGCAATAGCAGCAGCCCCAAACACCCATTTTGCAATAGAGCGTTGCCCAATTGCTGTGGCGCACGCAAATTCGCAGAACTCTAATTGCCAAAAGAAGAAAAAATATAATAAAAGGAAGAAGAAGAAAAAGAAAAGAGAATTTGTGCAGGGGGCGTGTGGCCAGCAATTAGCAAATCTAACAGTTCCAAGAATCGATTCACTGCAGTCAAAATTAATTGGCTGCCCTCAGCCAAAAAATGAAAAAAAGAAACCAAGCCAAACACTTGAAACAAAAAATATGTACTTATATATATATGCATATATATATATATACATATATATATACTGTGCTGCCAAAAATAAATTCTTCTTTTTGTCCATATATTCGGCCAAAGCCAAAGCTAAGGAAGTTGTCACAGGCAGCAACAGCAGCAGCAAACAGCGGCGACGTGTGTCAAAGGTTTGACAGGCCTTAATTGTGCAAAGAAGAAGCCGCAGGAGTTGGGGTTGGGGTTGGAGTGGTTGTGCTGTCAGCGTGGGGGCAACAAGCTCTGATGTGAGTCCTCCTCAGCAAAGCTGCCGAAGTGGCCAAGCAGAAGAGTTAAAGCAGTGGGATAAAAACACAAAAAAAAACAAAAAAACAATTGAGCAGAGGAGAGAGGATAAGCTGCCTTGATGGAAATGATTTATAGAAATAGGCATAGAAAATATTTGGGAAATTGCTGGACTTAATCTTATCAGTAAAATAAGTAAACCCTAAATTCTTTGGGACTTTTTCCAAATGAGCTGCTTGAAATGCTTTAAGCTGTTTCTTTTTAAGATTAAATAAAATCGCTTCTGACTTAAGAGCCTTCGTGTTTGCCCCCTTAAGTGGATTTTATTTGAGTACATTTTCTATGCTACCCTGTAAATATCAAGATTCATTCGTGTAAGTTGTAATTAAATTTCCTACGTTTTCTTCAATATTTCCTTTCAATTTCTTCTACTTCAGTTTTCATATTACGAAATCCACTTTTCAAAGGTAATTAAGTCTTCAGTGAGATGTCTCACTCAATTAACGTCGTTGGGTAATCTGAATGAGCTGAGAAACAGGTGTTTTATATATGCACACGATGGAATAGTATAAAACTTTGCAGCTGTTATCCAGCTGTTTAAGTGTTAGTTTCAGATTCTATATTGAATTGAATTGAAAATAGAATAGAGTTTTTTGCATTTCTAAATTGTGAAATAAGTTTTGCTTCGAGAAACCTTTTTGTTTTATGCATTTGTGGAACACTCCTCTGAGCTGCACTCTCACCGCAAACCAAAATCCAAACTCACTTAAATCTCAGCTAACACTCAACGTAAAATTGCCAAACAAATCCAATTCAAGCCAATTGCGAACAGTTAACAGCCCATAAACTTTAGAGCTAAATAATCAAAAAACAAAAACAAAAAGAAAATAAAAAATAAAAATGCGACGGCAACATTTGGCCAAGCAGCCAGGACTTGTGTTGCTGCTGCTGCTCCTGCCACTGCTGTTGCCACACTTGGGGGCGGAGATTGCACATACACCACTCTCGAGCAATCGCATCAACCTGGAGCCACTGGAGGAGTCACAAGAGGAGACGCATCTCCTGCCGCCCAGCTGTCCGCAGCGACAGGCCTACGAGAAGATGTTAAACAGCATCGATGATGTCGAGGATCTGTATGTCGATGTGCCTGTGCACATTGCACTCGAGCATCGCCAGAAGAAACGGTGAGTTAAAAACAAATATCAAAGTCCAGATAAGTCAAGAAAAGTCAAGAAAAGCCATGTATCCTTGTTCGGCGAGCTTGCGTGATTGCAATGCGCCTAAGTGCGTTGGCGACGGCGCCTGTCCCACAAATCAAATTATAACCACGCAATAACAAAATGTGGTATCTAGAGGACCAAGGATGTCTCGGCCAGGGGAATGGGGAATAGCAAAGAAAAAAAAAACCAACAAAAATAATTTATAACCACGACGTGTGGTTGGCCAAACAAAAACCATCACCAGATTTTTACAGTTGCCATAAATATTAGCCGTGTGTGTCTATCTGTGTGTGTGTGTGTGTGTGGCTCTTCTTCTTCTGTTACTACTTCAGCTTGTTTGTCTAAGTAGTGTACATGTGTGTGTGTGTGTGTTTTGTTAGTGTTTGTGTTCTTTTTCTGTTGTTTTTGCTGCTAGGCCCACAGCTGCGGCCGTGTTGCACGTGGCGTATGAGCAACTTTTTTTTCTTTTCTGTATTTTTCTTTTCTTTATGTTGTTTTTTTTATTTTATTTTTTTGTTTTGCCCTCGTTTGGGCCTGGGTCAAGAAAAGCTGTCACGTTTTCGCTTAGCGCGCGCCTGGCAGGCATTTTGTCTTCTCGATTTGTATACTCTTGCATATCGTTCGGGTGCGTTGACTTTGTCAGCCAGTCAACGCAGATTAGATGTGGAAGTACGTTTTTATTTGATTGCAGGAACAACAAATAATATAAATAATTTGCAAATGTATTCATACTTCTTTTGTTGCTGCAATCCTTCGCTTATAATAATTTTATATTTAATTTTCAAAATAACTATTCTGTTTTCTTAACTGCCTTTGTTTTCATTAAGTATGAATTACGAGAAACATGGGGTATATTGTTAATTAATCTAATATTTGTATTTATTTTAAAAAATCAACCAATTAATATCTTATCTTATATATATATTTAATAGTGTCTGTCTCTGCAAGAACATATCAAATTCGATAGGGCTCGTCTGTCATTTCCTTCTTGAAATTACTTTTATATATTTCAAACATTTCTGTCTTTTATTTCGCCAAAGAACGTGCGAACCTTTTGAAGTTATATATTTGTTTCTTGTTTAGCATTTTATTCGTTTTTTAGTTTTCCGTTTTTTGCCTTTTTTGCTGCTCTCAAATGACTTTTATCATTCTGGCATAGAATGTCAAACATTCAAATTAATATTGTGGTTTGTTGTCGTCGTTCTGCCTCTTGTTCTTCTTGTTGTTGTTGTTCTATGTGGAGTGTTTTTGGTTTTATTGTCGCGCGACCAGAGTGGCCAAATCGACTGCTCCAGTTGCAAGTGTTGCGGCTCCAGTTCTATGTCCACAGCTATTTCCATGTCCATGTCGATGTCGATGTCCATCATCAGTGCTCCCCGCTTGACTCTTCAGCTGTACGTGTTGCGCGCCTCGTGTTGCAGTTGAGAGCGTGTGAAAAGGAGCGACGGAATTGTGTGCACACAATTTATAGCGCGTGCAGTCATTAAGAGTTTTGCTAGAATTAAGCGATCTGAACAGCCTCTGGACTGAGGATATTGCCACAACCGGCGGCTCCTTGGGCAGGCGCAATCAACACAACGCATCGCCTTCGTCGGCTTGTTAATAATTTTTGCGCAAACAAATCATAAATATTAATTTAACGACTTAATTCGACGGCGCTCACAACAAAAAAAATGAAACAAAAAAAAAGTTAAGCAAAACAAAACTGAAACTCGAACGCCAAGTGGAACGGGTGCTGGAACTTGAATTGGGACTGGGCCACGTTCTGTGTGCACCATTGACCACCTGTAGCATCTGTTGCATACAACAACACACTGTACTACATATGCTACACACACACACACACACACACACACACACACACACACACACACACTACTACGCATTTCGCCAATGGCCCGAAAATCAAAACAAACAACAAAATAGCAAAATTGTTATAAATGTGCTCGTTATTGTTGTTGCTGTTCCTGCTGCTGCTGCATTTTTATGAGCGCCGCAGGCTCAAGCGTTGTAAACAACTTTTATTGCTCCAGCGAGAGAACTGCTGCAGCCACCTACCCCTGCCACCAGCAATCCCCTGTGCACGCTCCCAATGAGCTGCTTTATGGCGTGAAACTATTTATTTGTAAGCGTATCAAAGAAGCTACAATAAAAACAGCACCAGCAACAACAACAGCAACAACAACAGCAACGAGCACAACAAAACACAACAAATAACACGAGACTACTAAAATTTGTTTTGACCATAAAAATGCAGTGCATAATTTTGTTGGTTTTGTGCCTGAATAGTGCGCAGACCTTCAGCGGCAGCGTTGACGTCTGTTTTGTGCCTCAAATAAACTTATTGTTTGTATTTATAGACATCAAGACTTGTCGCTGCAAATGTATCTGTATCTGTAGCTGTAGCTGTATCTGTATCTGTAGCTGTATCTGCATCTGTTGCTGTATCCGTATCTATATCTATATCCGCGAACTGCAAACTGCAACTGCATCTAGTGCATCCTACAACAGACAGACATTTGGGCGTCGCGACTGTCGACGGGGCGAGACAGACTCCCCAGTTTGCTTAGTCAGCGCATCAGACTGCGCTGCCATAGTTCAATAGTCTAAAATTTCACCAAAAACCAAATCAACACACACTGCCACACACACACACACGCACACTTTAAGTGCGCACTGTGCCCATTTTGTGAGTGCTTAGTGAGTAATCAAGTAAATGTGAATGTGAATGTGAATGTGAATGTTTATTTCACTGTTTCGACGCTGGGCATTATTTGAATCATTCACACAAAAAATACACAAAATACATACAAATTCGAAGAAGTCTTGATCGAAAAACATTGTTTATAGTCATAAATCGTATAGTTCATTGATTTATTATTGTCTTAAAATACTCAAAAGGATAGGTTGGGCTAGGTTATGACTGTTGTCAGTTGGGTAGCAGAAAATTTCCGTCTCTAAGTTTCAATAGGAATAAATTGATCAAGTTTGTTGTTAGCAGGAAATATATGTAAATATCTGTACATAATTAAATATTTTGAGATGAATAAGGGTTTGGTATCTTATCTGAAGTAATTCAGCACATAAGGCTTAGCATTTCCAACACGAGTCCGCATTTCCGGTTCCGGTTCCGATAAGTAAAGTGTAAAGTTTTAGGTAAAGATTAGAACATTTTCAAAATATTTTATTTACTGTTGAGTTTTATTATTGTACTAGGACATGGACTAATAATATCAGCTCCTGCAACTGATTCTTGAAAGATTTTGTAGCTTTTGTATATAAATCTATTAGCTTTGTATGAGTTTATTTGAGTGTATAAGATTAAGACACTTAAAGATTATTTAAGTATAAGAGTAAATAAACAAATATATATAAGTATATATACTCTTTAGTATTATCTGGAATACTTTCTTCTTATTCAGTTTCTGTTGTTGTTTCAATTGTTATTTTGAAAACTTTTATGCTGACTAGTTTTTGATGTTCCGGAAAACCGTTTACATTTACAATACAGTTTATTTTTTTGTTGAGATTTCTAATCTACCCGAAATGCTATTAAAATAGTTGCAATTAGATATAAAGACAAAAAAAAAAGAGAAAGAATTGAAGTGCCAAAGTTTCAAGCGGAAAGTTTAGCGCTTATTCGTGGTATTTTTCTGAGCTGACAATAATTTAGAAACTTTTTTTTTTAAATAGAGTCGGTAAATATGCAGTTTGTAACAATATTATCAGCGACAGTTGACACTGACGATATTTGCGTTTGCTTTTCAAATCTTTTTGCTGTGCAGGAAAAACTGTGTTCATTCAATGCTGATTGTCAATTTATGGAGGGCATTTAGAGGGTGTCGGGTGGTGTTTTGGGGATGGCAGAAGTTAATGCAGGGCTGAACCGAACAGAACAGAACAGAACAGACCAGCACAGAACAGACCAGACTCCCAACACCGACCAACTGACTGCCTGGTTGCCTGGCTGCCAGCCTGCCTGACTGTCTGCTTGTTTTTCATGCCGTCGCTTTTGATAGTTGCAAAAATAGAATTTTGTCGCTGATTTTAAGTATTTCGCGTGAAAACTACTACAACAAACCAGACGAGACGAGCAAGCAGACAACGAGGAAGACGACAACAACAACAACAACGGGGGGAAAGACTGCGACGACCCCAACACAGCAGCAGCAGCAACAACAATCACAACAACAACCACAATTGACGTCGTCTTCTACTTCTGCATCTGCGCATTTTCTTCTTTATCTTCTTGCTGCCTTCTGCTCAATTGCAAATTTATGTGAATTGAGTCAATTTTTATGGTTTTAGCTAGTTGCTTAGCTGAGTTTTGGTTTTGTTTGTTTTGGTTTGTCTGCATTGTCGGCGTTGTCTGGCTGCCTGGCTGCCTGACTGACTGACTGACTGGCTCCTTACAGGACTTTGCGTCGCTTGACGGGCGTAAAGCGCACAACTGGAGCCACCGCTTTGCGCACTTGCCGCCGCTCCCGATACCAATTGCCAGCAGCACGTCGACGACGACCACGTGATCGAGTTCGTCGCTGCCTGCGTTTGTGCCGGCGATACCCGTAGAGCAGCTCACCGACAAACGTCAGCGATGCACTGCAAATGCCCACAATTAGGATGCCAAACGGTCCCTTCAGATGCTGTGTGGTCAGCACGATGACCGTTTCTGCGAAATCGGGACGCATCTTCGCAATGCGATTCAAATACGTATTGTTATAGCGAAAATCGGAATCAATTTTGTGTATAATGCCCACATCGCGCATATATCGAATTAGCATGTTCATCTCGTAGAGAAATGGAAAGCCGGCCTTCGTTATCATCTGTATGGGACTGATGAAGACGTTGTCGGGAAAAGCATAAATGTCATCGGCATGTGTACTCTGCATGATGTACATGCGACTGCTGAGTATGCAGCGTAATCCTTGCTCCACCGCTACTAGATTTACGCCGTGCGGACGAAAGGATCGGGTGTCGTTGTATGCATTGAATATCCACATGTCATCGTTGTTCTCAAACCAATCCCTGCTCTCCTCGTCACCACCGAAGGGTATGCCCGCTGCCACCACCTCATGCAGCTCGTCCAGTTGATGCAATAGGCCCGGATCCTGAAAAGTGGCTATCAACTTGGATGTATAAATGGCGACCACATTGAGCCCATAAATCGTTAGCATCAGAAACAGAATTCGTGTCGCATCGCAAATGGGACGCTCCTGGATGGCGGCGCATATGGATACGGCCAGGGCATTAATTGCGGTTAAGCTCAGTTGCTGGTAGTACGGTGGCTCCGGCAGGAGTGTGACCAACGCATACCACAATAGCCAGCTAATTAAGAGCACCACCAGAAAGGCCGTCCAAGTGTACACCTTGAAGATGGCCACCATTGCCAGCCAGGGCGGTCGTTTCTCTGCCAGCTGAACGAACCATGTGTGCGCATCCTGCAGATAGGTATCAGTGCCCCAGAATATGCCGATCACCTCATTGTCCGGATAAAAGCCGCCCAAGATGAAATCGCACTCGCCATTCGACAGCTTGCCCAGCAGACCATTCCAATTGCCCTCGTCGTCCACTTCTCCACGCGTTTCCCGTGTGCAAGTTTGATTTGTCTGCCAAAGATAATAACGAATTCAAGCATTTAATTGTAAGCCATCCTATGCCAATATACGCACCACAAACTGCAATCGATTGCGCATAAAGCCCAAGATTCGCATCTCGATGCCAATGACGCAGTCCTCCTCGACGAAGGGCGCCGCAATCGCTGCACAAACGTAGAAGGTACAGTTTTTCGGGCTGAATCCGTTTATAAAATCCTGCATGGCCACCTGCACGGCATGTGGTGACGGATGCAATTCTCCGTTGCTGCAGTTTCCAACGGTTTGAACGCTTGACACGCGACAGTCGACATCGCTGTAATAATCATTGACCAGCAGATTGTAATCTGTGGGTGTGTCGGCAAAGAGAAGCGCCACACGATGCACATAGTGTTCGGTGCGAAAAGCACTGAAGATTCTTGTTGCCACCGTGAAGGGTTTGCCCATCATCTCGGCATTGTGATAGAGCACCAGAAATCGTGCGCCCGGATTCCAGGAGCGATTCTTGCTTACATAATCGGTCACCAGACTGCGCAGATGCGACAAGCTGTCCACAATGAATACATAGTTATCCGCCAGGAGCAGTTCCCCAAAGAACTTGGTCACATTATAGTGATCCGAGATCACGCGCAGCTGAAAGTATTCGCGTGTTCGTGGCGCCTCCGTATCACTGATGGCCTCATTGATGCGCTTGCTGAAGCCCTCCTGTATCTGTGCAGCGGTCATGGACATGTTGAAGGCATTCGTCAGCATCAGGTTGTAGGAGCGTGTGAAACGCTGCTGCGGATTGCGATAGAAGAAGATCTGGGCAAAGCTGTCCAGACAGTCGACGCCCACCTGCCAAGTCTGTGGACCCACATCCTTTTCGGGCAGCATATAGATAACCATATTGGCTGACTCATTCGACGGATTCACAATGCCAAAACCACCAATTGGCAGCAGCAACAGCAACAGCAGCAGCAGCAGCAGCACTTTTTTCTTCATTGCCCACAAATTTGACCACATTTTCAGTACGTTGGCTTGAACGATGGTCGAGCAACTGAAAATCCAAACTCCAAACTCCACTTGCCTGCCGGCTTGTTTGTTGTGGGCTGACAGACAAGCTGGCTGCTGCTGTTTTGGCATTATTGCACCCTACGCTTGGACGGCATATCGTTGGCATGAACTTATATATATATTATATACATACACATGATGTAATACTTTTCTTAGGGTATATATTTTATTTATGGGTATAACTTGTAGACAGAAATTTATTTTCTAGTTGGTATCTCTTCTTAAGTTATTTATTTTTGTAGTTTCTTCTGATTAAATTGAGTGTATTTAAAATAGATCTTAGATGTTACCCAATCTTGTTTTAAAATATGTGCTTAACTTATTAGTAGAGCATAAATTATTTGAAAATATTGCTTAAATATGATGGATCTGAAATTCACATTCAATTTTATAGAGTTACATTTATTTCTAATTTTGTTATCTTTAAGTTAACTTATTAATTTCTTAACATTATCTTTTTTTTTTTAAATATAATTTAAGAGAGAGCATTTAAGATTCGGTCATAATTGATGGGATTGAAGGGACATAGATGGGCCGTGTGTTCGCACATGATGTTTGCCTTATTTAATTGACTGCTGTCATCAGGCGGGCAACAGCAACAATAATTGTAATAACAACAACATTAAAAGCACTTGCAACTGCAACTGCAACATGCGAGCCTTAAATTAAAGCAAATATTTGCGCAGTCGCTGCGGCGCCAAACTGAAAATGGCCGCCAACAATGGATGAGTGCATTAAAACACTCTATCAAACAGTTGGGAACCTTTTGGCGTTGTGGCCAACTACAAAATACAGCGGGGGAGCAATATATGAAGGGGGGCATGGTGGCATGGAGAGGCAGCTATTGGCAAATGGCATTTGTCCGGAAGTAGCCGGTCATAAAACTTGAGATGACCGGCCAAAAGCCAAGTCAATGAGTCACTTTACTGCAATGGCGCTGCCGGCTCTTCCTGTTGCCAGCACACACACACACGCAGACACACACACTTACGCATTTATGTGGGTGTGCTGTTGGCATATTTGTCTGTGGCCTTTTGTCATTAGGAAAATTGCACATAAATTTCGCATTTAATTACTAAGCGCAAGACAATTGTACCGCATTCGCTGGCCAAGAAGATCGAGACAAAGAATGAAAGATGAGATGGGATGGGATGGGAAGAGAAGAGAAGAACAAAATAAAACGAGTCATGCACTTGGACTCAATGCTGACAGCAATGTTGCAACATTGTTGTAAGCAGCGCCAGTTGCCAAGGGCGCTGACTCAACAAACGAAACAAATTGCGTGTGATAATTTAGTGTCATGATTCTTGACATAGAGCATCAAAAGCTCACTTATTCCGCCCTGAACTCACACCAGATAACCACAATCCCGTCCATCTCTGCGTCTGTCCCTCTCTGCCACTCTTAGCACTAATTCTTCATCTTTGGTTTGTCTCCCTTCTGGCAGATTTGTGCTGAAATTAAACAACTCAACGCCACTGACGATTCTGTTCTCAATGCCCGTGGCACGTCAGATTTACTACAATCAGACAGGTAAGTTGAAGTTGCCGCTTTCCGGTTGCCGCCTTAATATCTTCATCTTTGCCACGTTTGCCACAGCGAACGTTTTGCGTTTGGCAAAGGGACCCACCTTGGGCAGACTGATCCTGCCCTGCGCCCTTCGCGGCCAATACGATCTGTTTGTCCAGGCGCGTCAGGGCGGTGCCCTCAAGCTGGAGGCACAGGCCAAGCATCCGCACCAGAGCTGGCCCCTACTCAATCACACACATCGCATCCAGATTCGCACCCAGAATCGTGTGCGCAAGCGTCAGCTGATTGTCAAATGGGAGCGAAGGTGAGTACTTCTCTAGATATAGCAAAATATAATCAAGAATTCCTCACAACATTTTAATTACTAATAAGAATTATTGTGAATTGTTTTAGCAAATTTGATTATCATGCCATGCACTATTGCCTGGTGATCCAGCGCACTGGCACTCTCAGCTCCAACACTCCTTCTCCTTCCTCCACCACCACCACCACTACCTCGGGGAGTGGCCAGGACTTTGCCAGTTTCTGTGAGGCCGTCTATGCTTACACGAGGCAGCAGCAGCAGACGCATTCACGTGCCGCCTCCGGCCCCTGCTCGACGGGCAGCGGCAACATGCTGGATCTGGTGTGGTCCCGGGCACCGAAGCGTGCCCGTCACCTGAATCCGCGACACAGTCTGCACATTGTGTGCACCGGCGCTCGGACACAGCAGCAGCTGAGGGGCCTGCAGCCCAACAGCAGCTATCGTCTGCAGCTCTTTGGAGTGCATCAGCGTCTGCAGAATCTGACGCTGACGCTGGCCAGCAGTCAGGTGCACTTTAATCGCACACAACCAACGGCGCTGCGGGAACAGGCGCTGTCACTGCTGAAGATTGGCGGACTGCACGGCGTGCAGGTGTACAGCTTCAAGGTGCCTGCGACCATGCCACCGCCACACTTTATACGGTATTTGCTGTTGCCGTGCGCGGGCAGCGAGATACGAGTGAAGCTGCTGCGTCAGCATCGGTTGGTGGCCAACGTGGGTGACATCTACTCCCCGACGTATATCAAGCTGGAGGGCGTCACGCCCGGCGAGCGGTATCTCATGCGTTTCGAGCCCAGCAACGAGGACGAAGCGTTGCGTGCCCAAAAAGTGCGAGTGAGTTTTGGCTTCAGTTTTTTTGGGGCTGTCACCCAAAATGCTGTGTAATCTGTTTCTCCTCTTGTATTTTTGCATCCTTTTGCAGCTGGCTTTGAGCAGTGAACGCTTGTTCCGGGATCTGGCTGAGCTGCCAGAGAATATAACGGTATTCGATGTTCGCACTCGCTGCACCAGCACCACAATTGCCTGGCATGGCTCACCGGATGAGCGAGCCCTGAGGTAGGATGGTGTTTAAAAAAAAATAACAGACTTACCTGAAGGATAATTGGTTTTTTTTAGCTGCAACTAAATATTAATTAAGTCTGGCTAGAAAGCAGTTTTAATTATAATTGCATTGCAAGCTACTTTCAAATTTCAAAAGTGAACTCTACGTGTAGAACTTAACTTGCACTTAATTATTTATATTGTATTTATTATTCGCACTTTCCGTTTAGCTACTGTGTGATTGTGTTTAATCTGCCGCCACGCAGCGTTGTCGACTACACCAACTATTGCATGGACTTTGGGGCACTGCGGATAACGCAGCACAAGAATTTCAAGTACATACGCTGTCGCGAGAAGCAGAACAGGTGAGAGAGAGATAGAAACAGAGAGAGAGAAAGAGAGAGTGTGTAAAAAATGCAATTATTTAAATGAATACTCAATTAATGTTGCAGCAGCATGGACAAGCTGGAGACGGAGACCATACTCAGTCTGACGCCCGGCGACAGTTATTTGATCTATGTGACTGCCAATCTGAGTGTGGGGAAGCCGTTGCCCTACCAGACGTTAACGGTGCACATGGGCAGCCAGTGCATGGATGTGGAGTCGCAGGAGCAGCCCGAATACTACTAGGCGTATGCGCAATGCATTTGTCAAAAATGATCAACAACAACTAAAAAACAAAAACAAAATGATAAAGAAAAACTATCCGTCGTTGTAAAGCTACCTAATCCACTAAACTAAACTAAACTAAACTAAACTATGCAATACCATACTATACTATAACTATGCGGGTTTTTGCGCTAAGCATAAAAGACTATATAATTAGATTATATATATATATTTATATATATATATATATATGGCAAACATATAGCTGTTTACTTTGTGTGCATGTGTGTGTGTGTGTGTGTGTGTGTGTGAACTTTGAGTTTGCCAATAAATTCCAAGTATTTTTTATTTTTTGTAATTAAATCATAACCTAGCTTTAAATGTTTTTTGTATAATTATTGTTTGCGATTGCGTTTTGTGTGTGTTCATTGTTTAAAATCTCGAATCGATTTTTAATTTAGGTTATAAGCAATTAGATTTTATTTAGCGCTAGGCTTTTGCTGTTAAGTTTACCACAATTAAATTTGTAATTTTTTATACCTTATATATATATTTAATTTAGCTAAGTTTACTAAAAATATGATGCTAGATATATTTACATATACATTTGTGTGTGTGTGTATGTGTGGATGAGTGTGTGTGTGTGTTGAAAGCGTTGTATTTTTTGAAGCAACTTAAGCAAACATCTATGAAACAACTGAACGAAAATAAATAATAATGTGGACAATAAAATGTGCTATGCAGTAATTCGATTGGCCAATGCATATTTAAAATATTTGCCGAAATATATTGTATGAATAAACAATTCAACGAATAAAGAAAATAATTGCAATTATTATGTGTCTACTCTATAAAATTCACTTAGATCTGCCTTAAATGGGTTGTTTTAAAGAACTAGTTTAAGCAATGACCTAATATTCTATAGCTTTGGTTACATTATCCTTACTTTGCAGTTATTTAACTTGAATATAAACAGTGAAAGTATATCTCCGACCTTATAAAGTATGTATATTCCTGATCAGAGTCGATATGAAGGATATTCCCAATGAGGTTACATTTTCCAGCTGACATTTTTGAGTTTAACATTAAAAATCTGATGTTTTGATTTTGTTTCTGAGACAGACAAAATATAAGGACAGATTTAAAGTACTTATCGAGCTGCAGATAAAAGATATAATATGCATCCATCTACTAAAAGTAGATAGTAATTACTTACTTAGGTGTAGAATAATTTCCAAAAACTTAGCGATTGATAAATGCGAATGTTAATCGCTCAATTTTTTATGATTATGTGAACCAGCCAAATGATCCATCATGTTTTGGCCATATATTTTGGCCACGTAAAATACATGACACATGTCGCGCTCCCAAATGCGATGCGGTCGTTGGTCAATCGTTCAACGCCGCATCGCCTCATTGCCGCATCGCGTGTGGGATTCAGCAATGCAAAAATGTTGTGTCAGCGGATGGCAATCAGAAGGCGAGGACGACCAAGCGATTGATAAGAGCCAGTGATATCTGGCTATAATCATTAACTAAACGTTAACCAGACAACGTACAACGTACAACGGTAGCAGGTGGCAGCTGCCACACATTCAATTTTCAGTCAAACATAATTCGTTGAACTTGACGCACGAATCTGTTCTAAAAAATATTGCATACTTTTAGGGTTTGCAGATTAAATGGATCCGCGGGGTCTGATCGTCGAGACTACTGAATTGACTGTGAACGCAACGGATATGTATAAAATAAGTCTAACACAAACAATCACATTTATGTCACTGATATCCGTGATGTTTTTCTGCTCCTTTCTGGGCAACGTGAGCAGTCTCTATGTGAACTCCAGACGCAAACTGCGTCCTTTCTTTCGCGCCTGCCTCATCTCGCTGGCCTGCAGCGATCTAATCTATAGCATTAACTTTTTCATCAACAACATTAGCTATTTCAGTGCCGAATACCTGGAAATTTGGGTAAGCTTAATAGTCTCTAATCTATATTCATAAAATAGCGTGTACCGACACAAATTGTTATCATCATCTACTATTCTAGTTTATATTGTAAAACAAGTATTTTGATGTTTTTTGTTTTTTTTTGTTGATGTTTTTTGTTTTTTTTTGTTGATGTGTATTTCAGACGCTTGGCTCATTCATGTGCAATTTTGTGCCGCTTGTCAATGCTGCAACTATTTTGTTGAGCAGCATGGTACTTGTGGTGATTGCCTTGGATCGCTATATGGTCCTAAGACGTGCTGCGAAAGGCGTTTGGAATCCCGACTGTAAATTCTGCATCATCTGCATTGGCGGCATTTGGCTAACATGTATTGTCACCGCAGTCCCATTGGTTACCATCTACAGGGCCTTTGCGGTCCAAATAAGCACGGAGGATGAAGTGTTCACAGCCACAATGTGCCTCGGTAAAAGGGTGAGTTTGAACTGATTGTCAGCAAGCAACTAAGTCTAGATTTTAGTGGAACAATTGGTCGATTTTATTTGTATTTTTTGTGACTCTTACGTGTTCAGTCTGCTAGGGTATGTTGCCATCGGCGTACATAAGACAATCATTTTTTTCTTGCTGTTTTATGAATATTAATTACATATAATCTACGTCGTGGGTTATCAGCTTTGTATCAATCTGCGTATAAGCCTTAACATGCTGTTGACACCGGTCTACTATCTTATCAGCTGAAATAATTTGCATTTCTATTTATGATTTATTTTTATGTCATACACAGAGCCAAGTTAGAATCTACAATATCGTTTGTCTTGCCCTCATCTTTGCCCCGTGTCTTGTGGCCTTTGTGTTCCTCAACGTGACCATTGCCAAGCAGTTGTGGCAGCGGCGTCATCAGCAACGCAATCGCCCAGAGCAAGAGCAAGAGCAACCAGAGCGACAGGATGAGGCACGGTATGTGTATCTGCTGAGCAAGCCGGAGACAGCGTATGCCATGATGACCGCCTTCAGTGTGGCTGCCTCCTTCGATATGAGCGGAACAGCGGCAGTGGCGCCGTCGCAGCTGCAGAAGCTGGAGCTGCCCGAGAAGCTGAGTCCTGCGGCAGTAGCACGCCTGGCACGTCATCGACGCATGGTGCACGTGGTGATACTGATGATGGGCATCTTTATATGTTTACGGCTGCCCGCCTGGGTCTTTCTGCTTATGCGCCTCTACGGATCCTTTTCCTCATCGATCAGCTATCTGTTCTACTTCTCTTTGGGTGTGCTCAACTTGATGAGCTGTGCGCTAAATCCGCTCTTTTACACCTTTCCCACGCAAGCCATCAATTTGCTGTCGCGGCTCAGGGAGACGCTCGGCTGTGGCACGAAATCGCAGCAGGAGTCAGATGTGGCCATGCCCAAGGATTCGTGTAAGCAGCACAAACGTTGTTTCTGCTTTGGATTGCAGGTCAAATGGCGATGCTATTTGAAATCGGAACAGCCAGCGAATTCCGTTCAAGTGGCATCTCCTGTTGTTGTCGACAGCCTGCCTCCATCGACTGGCTTCAAAGGCGACATATTCACCATCTACAGCGAGCACTCGCTACAGTCGACGGCGGCAATTGAATCCTCCGCCAAGTCGAGCTGATGCAAAGTGCGTCATCAATCATACATCGTCTGTTATTGTTAAGTGATTGATTAATGTGGAGCAATGATTTTGTTGTTGTTCACAAAGTGGCAAAGTTCATGCATTTACTGATACGCCATGCTATGAATTAGTCTACGAGCATTGTATATATTTTGTAAATAAACAATAATAATACACTAAAATAACGCAGAGTCTGACAAGTTGTTGTTGAAATTTTTAATAAATAATATTGGCTCATCTTAAATATTTTTACAAATCTACATTCCAGAAAAATATGAGATTTCATGTTTAAAAATTACAGGGTATGTATAGTTCTTCCTATGCTTTTTATTAAGCTTAATATCTATTTTAAGAACTTGCTAATATTCACCAATAATGTCACAGTTAATTATAAACAAATGCGTGTATTTCCATACATTAATATTTAAAACAATTTCCGTTTTTGAACAATGGTTCTTCACATGTTTCGAGATAAGCACCATTCTAATTAATGTCAAGAGTTGCTGAAGCGCAGAGACAACTGCAAAACGATTCATCACGCTCCTATTGTAAATTTAATTAAACGAGCGTTACGAAAGCTTACTCTCTCTCTCTCTTGCTCTCTATTTCGCTCTCTCTCTTTCTCTCGCTGTTGCTCGCGTTCACTCTCTGTGTGCATTAGCCAGCTGTTTGGCGCTCGCAAGCTCGACTCAAAAGCTGCATTCGATTTGGTTGCCATCGCCTCAGTTCAGTTGTTGATGGCGTATCGTGCAGAGCAGTTGGCTTGAAGCTTTTTGGCTGGCTAGAGACGGACGCGCGATTTGGACGGACGGTTAAACCGATAAAAGGCAGCCAATCGGGTGAAATCTACGACAAAAACAACAAAAACAACAACAACAACAACATCGGCTCGTCGCGTCTCTTCTTCAATCAGTGTTCGCATATGTGTGTGAGTTTGTGTTTGTGTGTGTGCTTTTGCGGTATTTCAGCGCATGCCAAAAGTGTGTAAGAAAATTAGTGAGAAAATTGTAAAATAAATGATAATAATACTAATAATAATAATAATAGCACAAATTAAGCAAAGCGAAATGTAAATAAATGAGGCCAAACGATAATAGAGAGTCGCGAATTATGGCACAAACTCGTCTATAAATACCATTGAGTGAACCACAAAGGAAAGAAAAAGTGTCGAAGAACCAAATCGCAACAAAGAACCGAAAGTTGAAATACAATTCAACATTTGCTGTAAACAGGTAAAAATCGCATTCAAACTAAAACTAAACCATATTTGTAAGTCAAAAAATGCAAAACCAGTTGCGTTTGTTACACATACAAAAATTAAATAAATCAAAAACATGATCACAAAAACACAAACACAAAAAAAAAACACGTTCGCGCTTTTCACTTGGCCAATTCCAACACTTGTCCACAACGCATGCGCAACGGCTTGAAGAAAAAAAGCTGTATAGCTTTTGTTGGCTTGCAAAATCTGAATTACGGTATGCCTGCCTGTCTGTCTGTCTGTCTGTTTGTCTGCCTGGCTGTCGTCTGCCTGTCGAGTTCGTCAATGTAGCTGTTGTTTCACTTTTCTTCTTTAGCTGTCAAACAACCGTTTCAATTGACAGACATTCTAAAGCTCTTCCTATCGCCCTCTCTCTCTCTCTCTCTCTATCCCACTCTCTGTCGGCCTCTCGCCCTCTCGCTCGCTCTTGCACTGTCTGCCTGTTCTCTTTCGAGCAATCGATCGTTCGTCATACGCAAGACTTCTTTTGGGCCTGGTTACGCACCGCTTTCATTTGTTTAAGCCGCCTTTGGCATTATTCTGCCTGTTTTTGTTTTCTATTTTCCGTTGCGGTTTCTGTTTCTCACTTACTTCTTTCTCATTCAGTAGCTGCATACTTAATTAGCTAACGTTAACCAAATTGGAATACATATTTATATACACATAAATGTATATAGACCGTCCTGCATTGGCCAAGTTTGAGTTTCACACATTCTGACCACATTACAAGTTCTGTAAAACAATTGAATGTCAGTCAAGAAATGCAAACAATAAATCTTATTTTAATGTAGACGCTGTCTTCAATACGTGACTATCATACGAATGCCATAAAAGTAAAGTATTTTTTAATTCCATTTGAGTAGTTCTCTTAAATAGAAACTCTAATCTTTGATCGCATAAGCCTCATTATGCGAACACAATTTGCATGCTATTGTGTATTGCGAAAGGTGTTTCAGGTATTAAGAATTATTGGCACATATATGTAATATTGGCATCAGTTTCCCCTTGTTTGCAGAAGATACCAGCTGTTGTATGCAAGTGGAAAAGTGCCCTTTGTTGGCCATCTCACGCCATGAAAATCACTTTCGTTTTCTATCTGACGCTTAATTATTATAAAACCAGAAAATGTTTAGAGATAATCATTGCAAGCAGCGTGACAACTGTGCCGTTATTTAATACCAACAGCAATAACAGCAGCAACAACAACAACAGCAACAGCAACAACAACAGCTGCATAATCGGCACTCAAGCCAAAGCGTGGAACTGGGCTCAGTTCGGTATTTAGCACATTTCTCCAAAAAACAATTTTATAAAATAAAAAAATAAAAAATAATAATAATTTCTAAAGAAAGTGAAAGTTTCTTCTTTTTTTTTTGGGCGCACCAAATTTTCGATTGCGTTGCGGTGCGTTTTTGTTTTTGTTTTTATTGTTGGATTGCTGGAGGTAATTGCCTGGCCCCAAGGCGCGTGCATTGAATAAACAACGAAAGAGCCGACAGGGAGAGGAAGAGGCAGAGAGTCAGAGGGAGGGAGATGGGCAGAAAATACTTTGAGGCATAACATTAATGTCAAATATGCTTTGTTTTTTCTTTTTTTTTTCTTTTGGGTTCATAGTGGTATTTGACTTGACCTCTTGGGCATAACTCTAAATCTTACGCCCCTAACCTTGCCCAAAAAAAAAAAACCAACAAAAAACTCCGCTTCCAACTAGAAACTTGTTTTGTGTTTGGGTCTGTTTTTTGTTTTGGGAAAATTTACGTTGTTTTTTTCCAGCCGCCCATTGAACTCGGGCTTTTGTGTTTTCTTCATGCCGCAGACACTTTCGATTTTCGCACAAAATGAAATCACAAATCTGAAAAGCAGAAAAAACACACAATTTACAATAAAAAGTTGCGCGCCTTTTTTGCCCCCCTCCCCCCACACACATTTCTTTTATTTTCCTCTCTTTCTTTTCTTCATTCTTCATTTAGTTGTGGACCCTACTACTTATTTCTTATTACACGCCATCTCGCCGTTGACGATTTCACTCGTTCACTCGTTGTCTTCGCCAAGGGGCCAATGTACCGCACCATTCCAAACCGCTCCCCCCTTTAGTGTACCACTTTTAAGGCGTAACGCAAACGCAACTGCCGCTCTTCAGACTGGCCGGCTCTGCCAATTACCAATTACCATGCGAGTGCGCAAATGTTGTGCGGCATTGAGACACACATACAACACACACAACACACACCTCAGCACCCACCGACCCCCCTCTTGATCCATCATGGCCCACACCGACCTCTCCAGTGGCAGTCTGACTCGGTGTGACTACATTGAAATTATGCATAATGGGCTCGCACAATAAACATACAAACACACACACACACATACACACAAATGGTCTTAAGGTTATCACAACAGATGCCACAAAACAACTTACAACAACAACAACAAATCAATTTCTATGATTGTTATATTTTGGGGGGGTGTCATGTGATGATGGTCCCGGTAGGGGCATGGCTTAAGAGCGATTCATGTTTGCATTGTGCTTAAAAAAAGCAAGATAAAAAAGATATATATATGTATATAAATATATACATCTGTGTGTCTGACTAATCCCAATCAAGGTTAATCAAACACTAAATGAGAAAGTAAGTCAAATGAAAACTAATTTAAATTATAATTTAAATAAATTAAGGAATTCCACTGATTGTGCTCTGAATTACCAACTATAAATGTAAACATATGTATTCAATTTAAATATGTTTATCCATGTATTTTAAATAATATTCATGTCATGTCTAAAAGGGGCAAACGGGGCACTAGTGTCGAGATCTGATAGCTCTTTAAATTATCACATTGCGCTCACATCAAGGTTAATTTTTAACTAATACGTAACTACAACTATATAAAATGAAACTGTAGACTTAAATTGGACGTTTAGAAAAAAAACTACATATTTATATACATATAAAATTCAGCTATAACAAAAGTATTCCACTAATTACCGGACACTGTCAGCCGCTGTCAACTGTAGCCCGTAATCGAACTAAGAGACATTGTCGGCTGGAACGTGGATTTTAATTAACTGGAAATTGAGTGCTTGTTTATTTACGTGCGCTTTGCCAAATAAACAAACATTCAAACAATATAAGCTGGATGAGCTACACTTCATCTGAACTAACCCCGAACGGAGTATGTTATATTTTTTAGTGGTTTCATCAAATGAAGACAGTTCTGCGGTTTTATTCGATTTGTTTCAACTCTACATTACCCATACGACTAGTTATTCGATTTGCTGTGACTAATTCCTGCAACGCTTGATTTTTTGTGGGTGGGATGCAAAATCAATATGTCAATTTGGGAACATGGTACGTGACAGCACTTAAAAACTCGTTAGCTGTAAAATGTCAGCCATGTTAAAGCGCCCACAACACATCAGCATGTGTGTGGCAGTATGTGTGTGTGTGTGTGTATGTGTGGATACAGATGCAGTCAACCTTTAATGGCCATTAGAGGCTACTGCAACTGCAACAGCAGCACTTTTGTTTAACTGCTGTGATTTATAGGTTATTCGTTTGGTTTATGCCTGACTTTTGCTATATATTTTGCTATGGATTTGGGCTTGTTAAAGTCAACAAACTGCGAATAAATATAACAAACAGCTTTAAGTTGTCTGCTTTTATTACAGCTGCCAAAGATTAAAATTCCTCTCTTTCTTTTGTGCTTTATCAGCATCATTCGCCTCAAGATTGCTTCTCAAATTGAAATTCCGACAAGTAACTTCAGCTTGATTGTTGATTTTATCGCGTTATTGGTTTCAGTTTGTTGATCTGCAAATTTTTTCATTCATTAAGCATATATTTTTTAAATTTCCTTTATTCGCATTTATCAGCAAAGTGATTTATGATTTTTTGCATTAAACTTTGACTTTCAACGGTTATCTGGTATAAATATATAATCTGTTATATATATACATGTACTAATAACAATAAATAGTTGCAAAATGATTCAGTGGCTGCACTTGATAAGGAATTGTGTTTTTTTTGTACCAGACTCCAAAGTATTCTCGATTTTTGTTTAAGTTCTCTTAATGAAGTATTGTTTTCTTAAAGTATTCCATCTTTGATTTATTCTAGCCAATTTATACTCTTTCTCTGTGGTTTTTATATCCATTTATCTCTGCTTGTAACAAAACAGATTGTTAAACTTGTTTTGGCTTACTGCAAACCAGTTTTAAAATATTCCCCAACTTTGGCAAGTTTTTGCAACTTATTTTATTTGTTTTGCCACATTGTTTACAATCTGCGAAGTCCATAAAAAATGTTAACAATGTTGCAATAAATTTCAAATTGTTAACTTTATGCTTAGAGAATCGAGAAAAGTGTCAATTTTCATGAAGTGCGTACCAAAATATTGATGACAGGGCAATAAAGGAGGGCATCTGCTCATCCAAACACGCATCCATATTATATATATATGTACCATATACCATATATATATATACGTGTATCACTTACAGTTAACGATTTATAAACGAGTTTAACATAATAATGACTGTGCATGTTTCCTTTTTATTTTCGGTGTTTGTGTAACGCACCACAAATGTAGGTCAAGTGGTGCTACCTGCCTGTTGAACTGGCTGAGCCGGCGACGCAGACGAGACACTGTGGTGCTGCTGGTGGTGCCGGTGGTGGTGGTGTTTGTTGTAGTGGCCGTGCCACAATTATGACACAGACAATGCCACAGAAGAGATGGCAATTTTGCTGGCTCATTGCGGCACTTGCCGCTGTTGCAGGGCTAACAGTGACCGATGGTAAGTGCAACAAAGATTCGAGAATCTAGAATTTAAATTCAACTGTTTAACTGCAAACTTCTCTCTACATTTAACAGCTCTGCCGTTTCTGTACACAAACGCAAGGGCGCCCATAAATTGGACGCAGCCGACGCAGGACGATTGGCCAGTGGAGGCGCAACCGCGCAGCATAGTGCCCCATGTGGAGATCAAGTATCATGAGAATCGCACGAATAGCGAACCCTCCGACAGCGATGCCGAGTTCCTGGAACGTTTGCGTACGATGCGAAGGAATCGGACATCGGCTCGGATGTTGTGGTACGATGCCGCGGCTGGAGATGGACTCACGTATCCGCCGTTTGTGGATAAGGCCCTCAAGCTGTTCAATCTGAAACAGGTGGCCTTCGAGATTGAGAACAGTGTGCTGTCCAAGGTGTCCTGCACGGCGTGTAAGGCGGGCGCCGGACTGCTCCAGCATTACATCAAATCGGGCAAAACCGAGGCGGAGCTGATGAAAATGATTGCCCAATATTGCACGAATCTGAACATTCAGAGTCCGCGCGTCTGCGAGGGAGTCGCCCATTTGTTTGGCAGCGAACTGATATATGTGCTGCAGCGCGTCAACCTGGGACCCGATGAGCTGTGCAGCTTCATCATTGGCGATGGCTGCGGCGATGTCTACAATCCGTATCACGAATGGGAGGTTATATTTCCGCCGGTGCCAAAGCCACCACGCCTCTCCGACCTGCCCATGCCGATGGAGGCGGCTCCGTTCTTTAAGGTGCTGCACATCTCCGACACCCACTACGATCCCCATTATGTGGAGGGTGCCAATGCGGATTGCAATGAGCCCTTGTGTTGTCGCTTGAGCAGCGGTCGGCCTGCGAATCCCAATGCAGCTGCTGGCAAGTGGGGAGATTACCGTAAATGCGATACGCCCAAGCGAACCGTGGACAATATGCTCGCCCATATCGCTGACACGCACAAGGATATCGACTATATACTCTGGACGGGTGATCTGCCGCCGCACGATGTGTGGAATCAAACGAAACAGGAGAATCTCGAGATTATCAAAGAGACCGTTAAGCAAATGACGGAGAAATTTCCCGGTGTACCCATCTTTCCCGCACTGGGCAATCACGAGAGTGCACCGGTGAACAGTTTTCCGCCGCCCTATGTCAATCAGGTGGACATCTCCATTAATTGGCTGTATGACGAACTGGATGTCCAATGGCGTCGCTGGCTGCCACAGAGCGTCTCACACACGGTGCGTCGTGGCGCCTTCTATTCGGTCCTGGTGCGTCCGGGTTTCCGCATCATATCCCTCAACATGAACTATTGCAACAACAAGAACTGGTGGCTCCTACTCAACTCCACAGATCCCGCCACTGAGCTGCAATGGTAAATAAAATAAAATTTAAGCCAATTATCCATTAACTAATCCCTTTTCTCGCCACTGTTTAGGTTCATCTATGAGCTGCAGAGCGCTGAGTTCTCCAATGAGAAGGTCCATGTCATTGGCCACATTCCACCGGGTCATTCGGATTGCCTGAAGGTCTGGTCTCGCAATTTCTACAAGATCATTTCGCGCTATGAGAGCACAATTACCGCCCAGTTCTACGGACACACCCATTTCGATGAGTTCGAAATGTTTTACGATCCACATGATCTGAGTAAGCTTAAAGTTCTTCACATTAAATAATATTTCAATCGATTTTTGAAATATTTATTTCTTAATTTTTAATCATTTTCCTTTTAATTTTTTTAGCGCATCCCAATAGCATTGCCTACATAGGACCCTCCGTGTCGCCCTACTACGATCTGAATCCAGGATACCGCATTTACTATGTAAGATCAGGAATATAATTCAGGAAGAATTGCCCCATTCAAATATCAATATTACATTCTCTCTTAGGTGGATGGTGATCACGATACGACGACGCGTCTGGTCATAGATCACGAATCGTGGATTATGAATCTGAAGGAGGCCAATCTGTATGGTTATCCGATTTGGTATAAGCTATATACGGCCAGAGCTGCTTACAATATGAAGGCTCTGCGACCCAGCGATTGGGATAAGTTGCTCAACGAGCTGACCGACAATCAGGAGCTCTTTGAGATGTACTACAAGTAAGTAGGATAACTCTGATAATATATGGCACCAATGTGATAAATTGTATTGCTTTTTAAGGAATTACTGGAAAAACTCACCCGCTCGACCCACCTGCGATGCGGAGTGCAAGAAGAGGATGCTCTGCGATTGCAAGAGTGGACGATCCCATGATCGTCGCCATTTCTGTGCGGATGTCGAGTCCAAGATCGACGAGGGCTCCTCGAAGTCATGGAAGTCATGGTTCTATCGCGGATTAACCAATTCGTATGTATCGTTTTTTAAGTGATGATTCAGCTTCAGCTTCATCTACTTCTTTTTGTTGTTTTGTGCTTCGTTTTTTTTTTTTTTTTGTGGAGCTGGTTTTGTGAATCTTATTTTTGTGTATTATTGTTCTATTGTCCATTTGTTTATTGTGGCTGTACACAAACAATACCTGAAATAATTGCAACATATAATACTCATATATTTTCTGGTTGGGTACACTTAATTATAGTGGGGAACATAACACCGTGGAGGAGGATATGAATACAACTTCCTGGGGCGGCTTGGATATTATTTACGGTACATTTGGTTGAGGTCATGATCACAACCCAATTTGTAAATATATACATATATATCTATACATATACATAAAATAATCTATACATAAATATAAAGCTTAAGCAAAATCACTTATTTGGTTTATGGTTAAACGTTAAATTTAAATTAATTATAGTTGTTGAGAATAAATGCGTTTTCTGATATTAATTGTACACAATGCGTGTATTATCCTGTAATTCTCATTCTCATAGCTACAGCCTGCTCTCGTCCATCACCTACCTGCCCAAATATCTGCTGGGCTATGGTTGAGCCCACTTTTCAAACGCAACAAGTCAAACTGCAAAAGTCAAATCGCAAATCGCAAATCGAATCAGTGCAAATTTTCAACCGCCTAAACAATAAGATTACTATGTGATAATTAGTGTATAAATTAAGTTAGGTACATGTATGTTTTACTCTTACTCTGCACCAATCACAATGATAAACCATACCCTACCCCACACCCAGTAACCAGCTACACCACCTGAAATCCCTGATCACATTTAAACTGAGTCATTGAACAATAGTCATTAAATTAGTCACATCATCGTCGTCGTCGTTGCCGTCGTTGTCGTCGAGTGCAGACGCTT